CTGCTTAAGCACCTGGTCTGTGCCGCTTTTCGTTTGTCTGGCTGCAAGCTGCTGCCGCGCGGGGGTTGTTGCTGCGCCTGACGACCAACGCCCTGCGCTTAAGTACTTTGGCGGGGACCGGTGCCGGACGAGGTGGACCGACACGAAGTGAGTCGCTTGGCTGACGACGCGCCCATGCCCCCCTGTATGAATGTGTAAGGGTTACGGATGGTCACTCAGTGCTTTGTCGGATTGCAACAACATCCAGGGTTTTCAGAACAAAATCGAGGACATGATTTTCCGGTGGTTTGATGGCCACATTGTCTGCTTGAAATGTGACATTTTTCAATCGGTTGAAGTCCGCTGGGTGCGCTGAAGTTTTCCCATCCAGGTGCAGAACACCAACGCACCAAAAATAAATTGAAGGCGAAACGCCAACGCTTAGTGTCCAATACTAGTGACGCCTACTCGATGCATGGCTGTGGGCAGACACCGGGCACTGTAGGCACCGGCTTGGTGTTGTGTCCACGGCATAAAATTACTGGCTGCACCAAATCGGTGACTGCTTGCACCAAGTCACGTGCACATCATGTCCAAACTAACTCCATCCAAACTAACCTAACCTAAAAACTAAAAACTAAAAACTAAACCTAAACCTGTCCTAACCCTAACCCTAACCCTAAAACTCACCCTGAAACTAATCCTAACCCTAAAATTGAGGTTGGGACAAAGTGTGCACGTGACTTGGTGCAAGCAGTCACCGATTTGGTGCAGGCAGTAATATTATTTCTGTGCCCACCCGCCTGATACCCCTGCCCATGACCGAGTCAGCTGCTGTAGGACGCGGTTCTTTAATGCCCGCCCAGGTTCGCAACGCCGGTGCGTCAAACTACTCGGGGGGGGGCCAAGCCTCGTGAGAGGGACTCTCGCTTGCCCTTCAACCGCTGCGGCCAGGCGAACGGCCGTTGGAGGTGCGGAGGTCGATACTGGCCAAGGCGGTTTTTGGCGGAGCGGGCTTGCGGAAGGCCGTCGGAGGTGAGCAGAAGGGCGCGGGGGCAGAGTGGGGATGCTGACAGATTTACGCGCTGTTCCTCGTAGCCAGAGCGCTGCGCCGCTGTGACGTGGAAGCATGGAAAAAGGGAGGGGGCGGCGATCACGGCGGAGGTAGCCGGTCGCGCGGACAGGGACACTTGGGCGACGGGTTAGCCTCTGCCGACGCCGTGCAACCACCGCAAATGCCCCATGGCTGCGACGCCGGGCTGCGGCCATGTGGCTAGATTGTGCAGCGGTCGTGCAGTCGCAGCAACGGGAGCGTTGGATTAAGGCCTTCCGCAGCGGAATCTGCCCTGGATCGCCGCGTGCCGGCGCCTTCCGTTTTGCTGCGCGCGGACCCTTCCAGCCGTTCTTCGCAGATCTGAAACATTTGAAGCCATTTGTTCCCACAGCAGGCGCCGGGCGCGCCCCACATCTTCTGCGCACATTGTAGCAATCCTTGCAGGGAGGGCGGCTTGGTCGATGTGCCTGATCGTTGCCGCAAGGACGTGTGGCATGCCCGGCGCATCTAATGCTGTGGCGCTGCACCGCCCTGGGATGTCGATGTTCGTTTTTCATACCTCGCGAGTCGCATTGCGCACCAATGTTCGCGATGCGGGTATGGGGCCGCAGTGTGCCACAGCACCGTGGCCCGTTCTCTCCGACGCACACGACTGCACAAAGGGTGCAGCGCGGCCAGCCACCATCCGCCACCACTGCACATTTTGTTGGCCATCCGTCGCCACCGCTTCCCGCAGCAGTCTCGATGGCGCCACAACCCCTGCGATGACTGCGCGAAGATTTCGCAAAGTTGAAAGGGGGGACGCCCGAACGATGTTCAGCGCCCGCAGGCGTAGGTGCCGTGGTCGCGGCGCTCCACAGATGCCGAAATTGCCGCGCAGCCTGCTCCGGTGCTGTCAAGGTTTGCCGGCAGCGGCGAGGATCAAGAGTATCACATGTCATCCAAGGGCACGCGCGGGGAGGCGCGAACCATTCGATCCCGTAGTAGGGCACTGTCCCCGCAGCGCCTCCTCCCGAGGCATGCGCAGTCCGGAGTTTCAAAACTCTTTCTGCGGCACAGCACGATGGGTTGGCTGGGTGTGGTGCCCTGGCTGAACTGGTGTCGAGGGCCTTCTCGGCCGGCATTTGGCAAAGCCAAATACCAAAAGCCTTCTCTGCCCTAATCCCAATGGCATTTGGCACGGCATGCGGACAAATTTTCCTGCATATGTCAGCCTGTGGCCCGTGTGCACGGCTAACGGGAACTGTTTCCACCCAGTTTAGATTGAGAAGGTGTGCTGTTCTTGCTGTTGATGGATATGCTAGGATTCAGTGTCGATGGTGTATCTGGTATTCAACACATCAAACCGAGACGATGGCAGATGGAAATGGCATCACTGCAACTGCCTGCATGCAGACACCGGTCTTTGATAATATCTGCCCATGAAAATTCAGTGTTGAGCACCTGCCACAGTCCACTATTGAAAAGCACTTGCTGGAAGCTTGGCCCTTTGTGGTATGCTGAACAAGGGGCTGTTATGCTTCATGGGCAAAATGGAATCCTAAAAAATCTCTGCCATGCGCACCACCATTGGGTTGTGTGGTTATTCTATTGTCAAAGCTGTGTCTGCCAAATACCAGAGTTTTTCAACAAAATTCCTGGATAGAAGCTCAGACTGACCAAACGATGATGAATGAAGAAGCTTACTTGTTGCTTCCTTTTCTTGTTCAGTCTTCCATTTGCATTGTAGGGTTAGGCAAGCAGTGCGATGTTCTGCACAGCACACGTTGTTGAAACTGGCAGATGTCGGTGGGCATTGACTCAGAGCTTTTGATGCACTTGTTTGTCAAGCCATAGTCCAACAGTGGAAAACCCAACTGCTTGCAACTTTTCATGGAGAGCGCACAACTGATCTGAGTTCCTTGCTGGAGCTTTAAGAGGATGACTCTGCACAGTAGCCTAGTATAAGGCTATACTATATATACTAAAACACGTACGGCTGAGCCAAGTGGTGCTTTTTGTTTATTACTATTGAGCTTGCAATGTAAATAAGTTCCTGTTGACCCAAACCATAGTTGTAACACCTGACCACAAGAGAACAACACACTTCTGGCAACACCGAAATTTTCATGTAATTTCTTGTACAGCTTGTGCTAAACAACAACAGGCGGGAGCCCTGTGTCAATTTCCCATATCTTACAAACTCGATTCAAGTACTCAAGTCTAGATGATGTGATGTGTGTTTTTCTTTCCTTTTGACCAGAACGGAATTATACAGAACACTATGAATGCTGCCAAATGTCTGAAAAATACACATCTGTGCCTCGATTGCCTGCATTTCTGTCCACAGTTAATCCTTGCTGATATCTACCTTTGCTGATAGTGTGTCTTTTTTCTCCAGGGAAGGGACGTCCCCACACACATGCATCACTGGGCTCAACACAGTCTGTTCTTCTCACTGGTGGGTGCCTTGGACTGCCTGCACTCCCACAAAGCACTGAAAGTGGAATTTCATAGGCAGCCCCCTGCAGATGGATATTTGGAAGCATTTGACACCTTATAGCTGCAAGTATAAGCTGCAGTTTAGGCACACTCCTGGCACGTGGACATACGTCATTGCTGGTTTATGTGTTTGCACTCACACATCTGTAGCATCCTTCTCTGCACATGTTCTTATTGGCAGATCACGTACAGGCCCCTACAATATGATGCAGGGCAGATTTGTGCATGTTATGCAGCTTTCTTGTCAAGCAACTTAATTGTTGGTGCAGAAGTCCCATTGTGCTTCGTCGCTGTAGGTGGTGGCTCTGTTGCTCAGAGAGAGCTGTAGCCATGGGCTGAGGCCCTCACTTGGGCGCACACTCCTCCAAGAATCATCTTCAGTGGCTAGTGGCGACACGGGAAATGCAGCTGCAGTGGCCTCAAGCACGTCAAACTCGGCGTCTGCTTCCTCGAGCGCATCCTCAACTGGGGGAACGTCAAGTGCTAGCGCCAGAGCTGGACCTGGGCGTCCTTCCACCAGTGCCTCAGTGTCAGCTCCAGCCAATGCAGATAAGGTGCTGCCTAAGTAACACTGGCATTTCTATCTTCTGATTACAAATTTCTGCATCACCATTTAGAGATCAAGTGCCATCGAACATGTGTACCAAGAGAAGGAATCTGAGGTGTGGGCCAAGTCCCACCCACAGGATAGTGGAAGGGGATGCTGTGCTCTGAGCACTGACCTTTGTGGATGCAGTGGTTGTCATGATTCAGTAGTCTACCAGTTTATCTCAGAAGGGACCTCAACTAGTCGGTGCGGTACTTGACTCGATTTTGGAACAACAGTAACTGACATGAGGCACCAACTTCACTGATCAACTCGCTTCATTGTTATGTGCTACTGTGTTGAGGCTTTGGCTGTGGTGTTCACTGTTCCTGCTAGGTTGTTGCAGGAAAATCACTCACAGAGTAGGGGCCAATAATGTCATCGCATCTCTTAGCTGTTTTTCCGGTATCTGTTATTTACTGTGGCTATGCATTCTGCCTGGGCACAATGTCTATGTACAACTCAGGGGCACGGTGTCCTGTGCCAGACAGCTTGATGAAGAAGAGGCTATGTTGACGTGCAGCTCGTTAACTCTCTTAACTTGCTGCACAGCAAAGTAATGTGGCGATGACTCTGGTTGTGGTTATGGGACACATTGCAAAAAGGAGCTTCGTGTGGGAAATGGTGCAGATCCACTGTTTGTAATAGTTTTGTTGTGTTGTTTGGTAGCCTTCTATGGGCCATGGAATGTCAATGTGGAACTGTTAAAATTGGGATCGGATGGTAGCAGTGTGGGCAGCAGTTGCGCAGAGTTCCTGGATATTACCTGTGAATTTTTAGAGTGCTTGTCGCCTGTGCTAGCCAAGGTGTAGGGGATGGGCAATGCTCAAGATATTCCTAAAGGTACAGCCCAAAGGAGTCAAAAAGAATGTGGGAGTGATGCCCCGAAGTGCTTGCGAAATGCAGGACAAGGGTAGCCTCAACGCAACCTTTATCACCATTTATGACAACATTGTGAAGAGGGTGGAAGATGGGGAAGACCTCGATGTTGCTGCCAAGGATGAAGTGAAGGCGAGCAGGTTCAAGATCTCCAGCATTTGGGCAGAGGTGCTTCGTGAAGTGGGACAAGGTGACAAGGGCTTGGAGTGCCAGGATGAGGAGGCACTGGCGAAGTCCCAGGCACAGGATTTCGCACAGGCTCTGACCGATGCCCTGATTCTTGCCAACAGTGACCTGTCAGAGGAGGTTTTGATGGAGGCGAAGGAAACAGTTGCTGCAGGAATGGAGGAGGTCAGTGGACTTGAAACTGTACCATCAAATTACATGCATGGCTATCATCAGAACGTCTGCAACAAACAATCCCCTTGCACCTTGTGGGAGAAGAAGGCTGAACCTGTGCAGTGGTGCAATGCTTAAATTGGGACGCTGAGGAGCTGAAGCCAATATGCAAATACCTCGCCTCCATTTGTTGACCTGTGATTGAAGCATGTCATATGTGCCTGCAAGGCAACGTCATGCAGATGACTGCGGGAGGATTATTGAGATTGCGATCGGCACAAGCACCAGAGTCCGAAATAGTTGACACCAATGTATCCTGAGACAGATGGCCCCCATGCCCAGTACTGCAAGTAAACATACCAACTGCTAAAGCACCGCTGTCCTCAATATTGCCTTTTCATTTCAAAAGGCACGTATTTTGCTGTTGTGGTGAACATAGTCAATTAAGATTTTTTCAATTGCTACTTGCGTGTGTTTGGACATTTTTGTTCATGAGTTATGTGCAGACCAGCGCCTGTAACCCTCCCTGACTCGGCTTGCCTAGTCAGCCACCTTGCTGTTGTGTGTTGTCTTCCAGAATCAAAAGCAAGGTGCTGCATTCGATGCTGTCTGGAAAGTCTTGGATGCGGGATGGCCTATTCGTAACCTCTGCATTGGGTTCTGCTGGTGTCATGGATGCCAGCTTTTACACTACATATCCTATTGGTTCAACACTGCTCCTGTGCAAACACAACACTGTCAACATCCATGCTGTACCACAACTCCAAATTTATCACTCTGTTCACCATTTAGGGAACAAGGCATCATCCAATAGGATGTTGCCAGTTTGTGTAGAAAATGCCTCTCTATGGTTGTGGTGTCTTCAGGGCTTACCCCAGCTGTGAACCTGCAGTCTGTCACAACACAGTTGTTCATGGACAGGCCTGATGATCTTATGTTGATGGACCTGACAGACCTGCTGGCCCTGTTGGCTGCTACGATCCAGGATTTCGAAGAGGCAGTGGCTGCAGCATGTGGCATCTCAGGCTTTTCAATCGGCCCAAAATTCAAGTTTGCTCTACGGCTGGTTGAGCCAGTTACTGAAGGTTACGTGGTTGCTCTTGGAGGGGGTGAGTGCTATGCACATAGGCTAGGGGTGTCGAGCCCTCCTGTAACCTGAACTATCCCATACACCTGGACATAAGTAGCTCTCAAGTACTGGGTTGACCCTGCCCAGAACTTGACCAGGTGCCTGGCAAGATGAGCTTTAGAGTGGGAGTGGGAGCCTTCCAGTCCAATCGAACGGTGACTGTCCGGTTTTCATGTGTTTTGGTTGTTACTGCTGCACAACCTTGTGATTGCGCTTCATTCATGGCAAAGTACTACTCCTCTTTGATTGAACAGCATGCTGTTCCAATTCAGCCACCTGCTGTGAGAGCTGCGGAAATGGGCAGCTGGATATTGGGCTATTTTGTGCATGATGTATGTTATAATGCAATTGTCAAGCCCAAACAGGAATTTGAATGTACGATTGCACAACACAGAAACGACTGTTGATTGGAATTCTGATATAGAGTGTCGATGAGACTAAATTTGTGGTGCTCTAAGTGAACACAACGCCAATCAATACTCACCCTGTCAGGCACATTTGGCTCTGAATGGCTGTCACAGTGTCAACGATCTGTCACAGATACAGTTTATCTGTAGATGTCCATAGTGAGTAGTTTGCAAACACAAACAACTATGTGAACATTTGTCAACAGCAGATGCCCATAGCGGCTTGCTGCATTCTGCCTGCAAATCCAAAGAGTGGAAAGGCGATGTGTTTGCAACATGTTTCCGCTGATCGTATTGGTGACTGCTGTGATACTGCAAGGTGTCTTCCTCCCTGCTCACCACTGAGCAGCACTAATGCCACACAAATTTTAGCAATAGCAATCAGAGGCACAGCGGCAGTCTGCCAGGCCATTCGGCTGGGACCCCCAATGCTTTCTGTTCAGAACACATTTGCTTCCGTGATTAATGCCCAACGTCATCTCACAGGCTTCAGAGCAGTGCTTTGTGGTGCTTCTAACAAATGTAGCAAAAGAGGGTTTGCTTGTCACAGAGATCCCCTTGGCTGACTGCAGGTAAAAGCGATGGAGTACGATCAACCCCAAGAAGGATTCCCAGCGATGAAGTGTCTTCTACATCAACATCCACAACTGGATCTGGATCCGCATCGGCATCTACATCAACATCTGGATCTGGCTCGGCATCAGCATCGAGTTCTGCTTCTGCCTCTGGATCAGGATCTACATCTGCATCAACATCCATGTCATCGAGCACCGACTCAGCCTCCAGAATGACTCCCACCGTGAATGGCGCTGATGGAAGGTGCAGAAGGCAGTTCATTGTGTGCTGCCTCAAGAGGAAGATTCTGTCTGGCGAATGTGACTGCATTGCTGGAAGGTGCGAACTACAAGAGATCTGTGAGGATTTGTGGACAGTAGGTGTCCAGCAAAAATCGTACCCTGCAGGGGTTGTGTTTCACTGTTTATACATTGCCATACGCCATGCCCAGGATGTGCCTGTTTTCTGTCTTACTCTACAACCTGTGGCCATAAAGGGATGTAGACATTCTGCAATGGATGGCATATTTGCTGCCAGAGAACCGGAAAAGAAGTCTTGGATGGGGGCAATGCTGTGATGATCTGAGGCGCAGGGATGGTTTCACTGACTGGTGTCGTGCTGGCGTCCCAGCAATGAAGAGCGCCTTGTTGAAAATGGTCATGATACCATTTCCCAAAATGTTGCATCGTATTTTAGAGTGCTGGTCCCAAACAGAGATATGCTGGCCATGCGCCACCTCACATGGTCCACATCTCTTCTGACAGGGACAGGGGCAGCGCCAGGACATCAGGTTGCTCCAAAAAGTTGCCTTCACTAAGTTGCCTAAGCTGGATTGCGAGGACGCACGTCATGTTTCGAAACTCGATTTGATGATCTTGTCATGTGTCGCAGCATTGGCCTTAGATCTTTGGTGTATGTGGATCGCTGTTCGCATGTAAAGAGTTGTTCTTGTGGGTTACAAATGCTTCAAGATGTTCACCATTTAAAAGATGCAGGTCACAAGGTGACCAATTGTCTCAAAATTCTCATGGGCGTCGCTCTTGTATCCACAAACGCTTACTCTTGTAATATTTGGGAATGCAACCGACGACGAGCTTGACTGCTGCCTGGCCAAATGGGAACATGTGGTCTTGAGTGCTGTGCAACCATGCCTGTGTGCTCTCGTTTTTATTGCTCGGTGCTCCTGTGAAGTTCAGCCTGGGTCACCTGTGGGTGATTGCGTTCGCAGGTGTGACGCAGTCTACATGGATGGCATGTGGCATGACAAACCTTCAGGAACGACATGTTCCTGCTAGAATGGACAGCGCATAGCTCCAGGCGTAGTGTGGGGCCTTGTACGGAGGGTTTTGCTGAAGTTTGCCAATTTCAAGCTGGGATCCCTGGGCAGGGGGCTAATGATCAGGCTTGGCTGAAAATGCAAAAGGCGTGTGAGGGACCGCCACTGGTGAAACAAGCTTGGAGTAGTGAAAACCGTGCATTGTTGTGCTGGATGGCGGGATGGGTGGTGACCCACAACATGGGGACAAGATGTGGAACAATTGGAAACCTAGGATGGCCCGTTGCATAAGAAAATACTGTTGGAATTTGTGAGTGACCTGCAACGTGGGAATCCTATTTACTCTTGCTTTTGGAGGTTGCGCGTTGGTTGGATGCATGGGTGTATGTCTGCATTTAGACCTTTCATTGTATGGTGCACATGGGTTGGGTGTGTCAATGTGTATACGAGTTCAGGAAAGTCCACATTGCCCCCTCCTGTTGGAGAGTCTGGGTGAACCAATCGATGAAGCATCATTCCACATGAATGAAGATTCCAGGACGAAGGTCACATTGGCAGAAACCACAGCAACACGGCCGCCATGCACGGCAGCCTTTGGGTTGTGTGATATTCGCGGCCTCTGTATATTCTCCGCTCGTGGAGAGAAGTTGTTGTTTTTAAATGTGGCTGAACGGGTAAATATCGACTAGATCGAAAGCTGGCACATTGAGATCCATGAGGAAGTCTGAAAACGATGGATTCGCATGCACATGAGCTGAGCCGGTGTCCGATGTAACGGACCAATCATGGGATTACCCCATGGGGCCCTGTTAAGACCCCTTTCAACCCAGCGAGGGCCATTTAGTACTGTGATGTGCCGAGCCTGGGCAGCCTTAGGGGTGACACTGACCTGTGGGGCCCAGGTGGGTTTTGGAGGTGGGAGGGGGGTGGGGGCATTTGTGATGCGTGCACTCAGTTCATGTCGCCATGCACACGCTCAGCAGTGCTGGCTTAGTGGCTGTGAAATTGTTCGTTGCACGACCAGTTTCGCTAACAGCGTCCTGAACTTTGAGAATGACGCCTGGTGTGTCTGACACTCGGCGCCTTGAAACGAACATCGCAATGTGAAAGTGGAATGGCTATCAATGCGATAATCGCGCTGAGCGCCGTGCAATTTCACAACATGGTTGTGACATGCCAGATGAAGCGAGCGTTGCCCTGCACCCGATGACCCCACACCTATCCTTTGCCGCTCCTACATTTTTCCTCGCCCCCAATACGCTGGTTGAATTCGCACGTCAAGCTGTTGATCAATCCAAACTTTTTATCGAGAACACAGTTAAGCAACAAGGAGCCTTCAAAGAACGTAGGCATCTGCCATTTTGGCTGTGTTGAAAGAACGCCGTCGTCCTTGTGGCGCCCTGGCTAGTAGCTATGGCCGCATATTCATTTCTAACTTGAAAACTAAGAGACATATGAGCAGACAACATAGGGTAGCCACTGAGGTACGACTAGGTCAGCGAGTGCACAGGAATGAAGTTTTGTGACGGGCCTGTACACCGCGGATGCGGTTGCTTGCGAGAGGTTGGTTTGACGTGGGCGCCAAAAAAAGCGATCTGGTTCGATTACAGTTCGGTCTTTTTGTCTCATTCTGGTTCATTTGGGTTTTGTCGATTGCCTCATTCTGCACGTGATGGGATCGTTTCAGCAGGACTCAGTGGCCGATCGGCCTTTGGAGTCGCGACTCGTTCCCCCACATCGGCATGAGCGCGATTGCCACCCATAAGCCCCCGCCATCGTTGACATTACGACAGGCCTGGGCCCCACAACCTTTGGCGCACCCTCCCGCTGCACGCATCAACAGCCGGGATTGCAGTACTTTAACCTTCTCCCCCTGATGAGCCAAGTGTGACGTGACCGTCTCGTACTTGGTTTCATTACACATGCTTACCACTTGACGTCATTCCCATTTTTAGGCCGCTTGCTACTCGGCGGTCAGGCATCCGCAAGGGCCGCTTGCTTCTGCCCTTCTTGCTGGGCGCTCGCTTCGGTCGGTTGGCCAAAGTGTGATGGCCCAATTCCGCGGCCCAGGTCACAAGTTCGCCCAAGACAGGATGGCAGCGCTCACCTCGCCTAGGGGCTCGCTGACGGCCGCCTGAGCAGCGAACGACAAACTGTGGCCGCGGCAGGGGCGGTGGGGGGTGGGGATCGGCAGGGGCGGGGATGCCGGCGCCAGCGGTCGAGATTGAGGAGAACGAGCCGGGGAATGGGGGCGCGGATGCGCCTCCAATGCCGTCACCGGCGTCGGCCTATACACCGGCGTCCCAGGAAAACCTACTGGGGAGCGGGGCGGCCAGGGGGCTGTCGCCCCTCGCGCCCCGCTCGATGGAGAATTGCAACCCGCTGACGCAGGAGAAGCTGTTGTGCGAGAGCAGCACGACCTGGACATTTTGGAAGCAGATCAAGAACCTGGACGGCCATTCGTGGCAGTACACGGCGTCCGTACTAATGGCCGCGGCGCTGGGGGTGAGCGCCGGGCCTCCGCGGCCGGGGATTGCCTGCAGGGCGCTTTTGAGGTTTTGAGCCGCCGTTGGTCCTGCGCGGGAGGTTGTTGCCCGGTCGATGTTGCGGCCGGCCAGTGCGTCTCGCGTCCGGTGTCCCCTTCCCGTGAGTTTACGGGACGCGCCCCAGTGTCTGGCGGAAATCGCGTCGGCACTGGATACGGCATGTCATGACACACTTTTTCTCGCGCCCATTCCTGTCCACGAAATGTTGAATGGCGGGGTGCAACAGGAATTCCGCGCTGCGATGTGTGCAGGCTGATCGGCCTTTTTCGCATTCATCTGCGCCACCTGCAGGGTATACACAAGTGGCCAGTGCATACTGACCACCTGATTCCCAAAATAAGTATCTGCAACCTCCTGACTCTTGGGAGGTCGGTATGTGGTCCCCTGCCTTCTTTTCCGTGCGAATTCATATCAAGTGAGCCTTGCTTCTATGAAGCTGCGATGCATGGTGAATGCTGTGGTAGGTACGATGACACAATGCAGATACATCCAACAACCTGAAAGCTACAACTGTTGATTAGAAAACAAGTACCATGCTACCTTACCCAATGCAATTGGGCTTAAGGCTCTGTGAACGTGCACCCTGTATCGGCCTCACGCACAACCTGATGTGCTGCATGCAGTTGACCATCTTGTTCAATGAGCGTGGCTTCCTGGAGGGCCGGGAGGACTCCACCCTCGTTGGCCAAGTCAGGCAGTGGAACCTGGCAGAACGGGAGGTCCTCACATCAGTCCTGTTGATAGCATGGGCTGCCTTTGCGGGGATCCTGTCCTTCCTGCTGCTAGTCCCCAACATCAAGATCATAAGGCGAAGGGCATCGCACAGATTTTGGATGATGTTGGCCATCCTGGCGCTTGGTCTGTCCAACTTGTTTGGGGTCTTCGATGTACTGGGGGCCAGAAACGCTTTCGAATGGAAGGTGGAGATGGGCTCATTCGTGTCGCCAGTTGGGCACTACTTCATCCTTGCGGTCTTTGGGCTGACCATAATCATGGTGGACATCTTCTTTCTGCGCGTCATCTTTAAGAGGTACCTGGATGAGACTGAGCGCCATCCAGACATCCCTATGGCATTCGCCAGTCCAAGGTCATCCCAGAATGTTGACATTCCACAGGTAACTTGCAGTGAAGTTGCATGTACATGGATTGTCATCTGTAGTGCATTGAGAGATCTGAACTGCTGATGCATGTGTGCAGGGTGGCATCTGGCGCAAACCGTAGTGTTCTGTTGTTTTGAGTACCTTATTTGAGTACAGACGCGATCGTTGCATTGCCTGTGCATTGTTCATAGCTGCAAGTAAAAGAGCATAATGTGGCTTTGCTTGAAAGAATATAGAATTTGAACCAGTCTCATTATTGGCACAGTCGATTTATGTGCCTACATCTTGCAGGTGCAACAGTGCCCCTGTTACAGGAACTGTGAATGCTGTTGGTGGGGCTTCTGCTATCACTATTTGCTGCACACAGAAGCTGAGTTCCTGGAAACAGAGTGTTCACAAAATTAAGGGTGACATGATTTTGACTCTGCAAGCAACGACATAGGTGCAACTAGTTCATGACGAGGCAGACCTGATGGAAATATGGCAGGCACCATGCAGACATCGCGATGTTGTCAGTGGCAGAACTGCCTGGCATTGGGGATTCATAGCCACTTCTTTAAGCAGCATACTGAACACGATATGCTGGGCCGTTACCAGCAAGCAAAACTAGCGTTCACCACTTGGTCGCCACCACATGGTTCCTTTTCATTGCAATTTTGGAGAACATGAATGCAGAACATCAGGTTTCAGGCAGACAACAGTTTGTGTTTGCTTCTTGTGACTGCCTCACACTCCTCTGCGACTGGTCGTTTTGTTCTGTGTGCGTTTCCTTCACCAACGTGCTCTTGATGTTGTTGCAGGGTTTAAAGCCTGTGATGCCTCTCTATGACAAGTTTGCAAACTGTGTGATTGGGATCTTCCACTGGTTCTACTCAGCTGCCAACTCGAACGTTATCTTTTCCATGACTGACAGTTTGAGGAAATCCATGCCAAGCAAAGGACCCAGGGGCATATTTTCTTGCATAAAAACAGTTGATGGGTGGATATCAACCACCATGTTCGATTTTCTGTGGTGGCTGTGGGACACCAGACCACTGATGTGGCTTATGTTCCTCATAAGCGGACCATGGAAGGCATTGGTGTGCATTACCAACCCCGTTTGCAGGCAAGTTCTTGAGCAATGCTGAACCCAACAGTGAGCTTGAGCCAGGACAGACTGCAGTGGGCAGATTCAACAATATCCGTAGGTGAAGGGTTGTGTTAATTGGTGTGAAAAGCAATCAACAGGATGGGAGGGGCAGATGTACAATCACATGAGAGGACACATTGAAGCACCTCGCTGAATGTCTTCTAGAAGACCATGGACACTGTAATTCAGAGACTGGGTATCGTTCTGACTTTCAGGCTTGTCTGACCTAATTGGGTGCATGGTGCAGCAGTGGATCTGATTTTCTTGCTAAATTTGTCTGTGAGCCTGAATGCATATCCCCATAGATGCAGCAAACATCTTCGGTTGCATAGAGATTTTGCAGTTATTGGATTTGAAAACTCGAATGCAGCAACAAGATTTTTCTTGTTTGAACCAATGCCTTGGGACATGGTGGGCAGATTGAGCAACACATTTTGGATACTGGCATATCATCTTTCATCACTGTGCTGCCCACGATCGGGTCGTCAGGCAGGTGGAATTTAACCTGCTGCCTTGTTGTTCCCTTGCAGGCCCATTGCAAACTGGACTGCACAAGCTAGAAATGCGACGAGGGCAACACCACTGGGCATTCGAATGTGGCGTGTTTGTCTCATGGCTTATGACCATGTTTATGACTTGGTTTCAGGGATCAAGCCGATGATACAACGAGAAGCGGAAATGCTATGTGATGCAGTGACTGAAGACGATGAGTACCATCACAGTGGATGGATGAAGGCAGCTGTGCTCACGGCTGCAATTCTGATAGTATACTTTGGATTGTGGTTTGTGGCCGTCTATGAAGGATTTCTTGATGAGGTTTACTCAAACAAGCGAAACTGTCTGATAGAAAATGAGCCCTTCTCACAATTTTTCCTGAGTACTGTTGGGTTTAACCTTGGCACAGATTTGGCACCACAAATCAGCGTGGACGACTTTTGTAACAGAGTCACAGCACAGCTCGAATCTCGATCGGAAACCAGCAGGTTGTACAGTTGCAGTACACTGAAGAGGGAAGAGTTTCCTGATCTCAGGCTGGCTGCCATAAATGTTTTCCTTGCGGAGGCCAGGGACCGTGGAGCAGAAGAGCCCTACGACAGATTCACTGATCGCTTTTCTGGAAAGTTTGTGATTTTCTGGGACACTATCCTTTTGAAGACACAGTGGACTTGCTGGGTGGGGTATGGTGTTGGTTTGGTCATGGGGGCATACACTCTTGTGACAGTGCTGGGTCAGTACAAACGGTTGACCCTTGCTATCCGTGCTGAGTGGTTTGAGGATGTCACGATCGACAAGGGCATGGGCGTTTCTAACAGAAGGAATAAGGAAGCGCTCATGGAGATCGCTGAAAAAGCCCTTAGGTCAAGATCATGGAACGAAGTAACTGGAAAGTACCCCATGAGCCACTCGATGTTCTTTTTTGGGATGCTGGTGAGCACAGCGGTCCTGCAGCTTCTGGTATTTGGTGCTCTTGTCACGTATGTGCTGGCTTTCGCACTTTCCATCACAGAACTGTTTGACATAATCAAGCCCCTGGTCGCTCTGGCAGTAGCCCTGGCTCTTGTCTGGTTCATCCAGGACGTCGTCTCGCAGTGGATCATCTTGGAGGGCTTCTTTCTGAACAGGTGACTGTCACTTGGCGAAGTTCATTGGAAACCATTTGCCTGCATGGCAAGGCAATGCCCTTGCACCTTGAAGGGAGGATCGGGCTTTGGCCCATCAAAGACGTTTGTCAGGGTCCAATTTGGCTGTTGCTTCGTAGCGCACCTGTTCACAACACATGTTGTGTGAAGAAAAGGTCAACAGACAGGATCGAATCCACTGGAAAGCACGGGAGATTGTTGTCAGTGCTTTCCCAATGCACTTACAAACTTCTGACGGTGTAATTTTCGGTGTGTTGTGATCATGGTAAGGTTTGTGGAGTACAACATATCTCAGCAATTTCTGATCTGCTTGATACACCGACAGGCCATGAATGCGGCATGGTGCTGCTGCATTACGTGGTAGTGCTGGCAGTTCACAAATTTCGGCACCTTCTCCAGCAGAAGGAGGAAATTCTAAGACAGGCCCTGCCAGTTGATGTCTATATGGTAAATCGTACGCTACAGCAAGCAGGCAATCTTGAAAGGGGTGGAGGGGTATGCCCTGTGGATGACCTGCCTCCTTTATATGATTCGTTGGCAGAAGTAAGAATAGGTGGGACATTTAACAGCACCCTTTGGCACAATAAGGATGACAATGCCAAGAAATTTGTGCCAGGGGAGAATAGAAGTAAAGAGAGCAAACCTGGAGCACTGGGGGTGGGGGTGGGGGGTGGGAGGGGGGGTGGGGGGCATTCATGCGCAATATCAGTCATCAGGGAAATTGCCTCAACACATGAAGCTATGCTCGTGTCCCAGTTCCTGTAGATGTATTGTTTCTTTCTTCGTGCACTGCAACTACTAGCTACCAAGGGCTTCCATCGTTTGCTTCTTTACATATTGGAGATATCAAGCACCTTCAAGTGTGAACAGACCTTTTTTGCCCAACAGAGTATTTGTTGCTTGTTGTCATCTCGAAAGAAAAGAGATCATTGGAAGGCTGAAGCTTTTGTGCTTGTGCCAGCAAGTGACCTCTGTTCTTGCTGCCAACGCAAATGGCTGTGTGACTGTCGTTGTGTTCTGCAACAGATACAAGGTCCTGCAGGAGTCATGGTTTCTCCTTTTCCTGCTCATGAACACCATAACACAACTGGTGATTGGCATTTTCTTTGCTCTTTGGCGGTTCGTGCTGCTTCTCCTAACATCCATCACAGGCCTCAACAGGCTTGATCGCAACCTCTTCCCCATATGGAAGGTAACTGTGATTAATCGATGAAATGCCAGCCTCCCCTCTGATAAGTGCTTGTCGATGTTTCAGATTTGCATCACACTCTCGAACATGCAGTCATGGTGTCAGTGGGTCATGTGGTGCTGAGAAAGTGCGCAGGGCCCCAGTGCACATCGGCTGAAAGAGGGTGCTCCAGAGCATGAGAGGTTGCACGTTCATAACGGGTTGATTTTAAAATGCCTCTCAACTTGCGCTCGGTCAGGGTCAGGCAGGCAGTACCAGTCTCATTCAGGGTTTGGGTTGCAAGGTTGTGGATGTATTTTGTATATGGAACATCGACAGAACACCTAGAGTGTTAATGCTGGGTGTAGTCTTATTCACAACAGCAGCAGCAAATTCCCAGGTATCCTGGCTGTTGTGAAATCGATAGAGGTGTCGCATGGTGCAAGAACTTCTGGCAGCTCAAGTGCATTATATTATGCTGCCTGTAATTGCATTGTCCCATGACATACCTTGAGCTTGATCCCTCTCAAACATGCCTCAGCTGGCATACCCCAAGTTCTTGTAGGCCTGGGCCAGACATCGACTCACGGATGGGAGGAGTGCAAATTGGTTGCAGCGAAAGCCTTTGCCTTGATGGCATTGCCTCAAAAAACGGACCGATGCAGTGTCATTTGAAAGCCTGGGATTCATTTCTTTCTTCCACATTGGGCCAGCCATTGGTACTCCGTGCAGAAGACCACGCGAGTTCACATGGGCTTCAAAGAAGCCAGTTCTGTATGCCTTTGCCGTGTCACTGCATTCCACCGCCTTGCATGCACAAAAGGCTGCCATTGTCTAGTGTGGGCCAGGCCAGTGACTTGCCACCCCAAGATGTGCCCTCAAAGCACCATTTCGCAGTGCTGCCACCTCAGAGACAGTTTGCCCACAATCTGACTGGCTGCTTGAATATTGGACGACCTCTTTCTGCTTGCAGAACTTGGACTTCGGCCAGCAGGCATTCCTTGCTACGGTTCTCATGGAAAGTGCCTTCTACACAAGACGAATATGCAAAACGTCCCAGGCTGAGTCAGGCAGTGACGATCACACCTTGCATGACCCAGATGCACCAGGTGATGATGATGGAGATCTGCCTGGCAAGCTGCCAGGACCAGAGCCCAGCCCGGCAATCGTCTCGCCTGAGCCACCCTCACCAGCAGACTTCGATGGCCACATGCCCCCTGGCGGCAAAAGGCTGCAGGATGCGGCTGTGTTTGGTGACGAAGTCAGGAGTGACCCCCCAAGGTTTGTTGCTGCATTCCCCAGCTTTCGTTCAAATTCACAGGAGTTCACAGTGCCAGGGGCCACCTCGATCGCCACTTCCCAAGCTGAAGCCCGAATCGACATAGACCAAGTGACAGCGTATCAGCCTGTAGCAGTGCAGAGACAAGTGGAGATGCCAGAGTTGCATCCAGGTGAAGCGCCTGAAGTTGAGGAAGCAGAACCTGGGCAGGGAGCGAAGACGTCAGCTGCCAGCCCTGCAGATTCTGCACGAGGCAGCACAGATTCAACCATGCCCCCACCGTCAAACGGGACAAGCTCTATTGAGGCTAATGAACTTACCCAGTTAAGCCCAAGAAAGGCTAGCGATTCCCATTCCGCAGTAATGCAAAGGAGGCTCAACGAAAAGAAGAAGTTGTCACTTTACAGCCCAAGGAAGATGAAGAAGTGGACAAGGGGCTTCCACAAGAGTGGAAACTCCAACGGGGGCAGCTAGGGCATTTTGATGGTCTGATGTAGGCATTGCACAAACTTGCGCTGGGATGGGGTTGTGCTTTCTCGCCAGGCAGCGATGCTGCGTATGTGCTGAATCAAAGGGTACCATGACTCGTGGTCGTCATGGTGGTATTGATCTAGCTCCTGGATTCTTGTGTAGCATTCTTTTAGAGCTTAGCTGGACACAGTGATCCAAGAGTGTGCCAGTTGCTGTGCCAACAATAGTAACAGGCCTACTGCATCCACCCATGCATGTGCCAATTGCTGTCGGGTGAATCAATGTCACGCTCGATGTCCTTTGTTTGCGTGCAGTGGGGAGCTGCACGAAATAAGCTGAATCTGGGCTGGGATATTGCTCACGTCGACCAGCACAAGTGCACGTTGTAGTGTTTTTCTGCTGTAAGTCATGTTAGTCATAGTCTCGATGGATGGTGTTCGGTGCGGTTCGGTAATACCCTTGGCATGAATCGGGGCCCCAAGCAAGCGTTTGCCATGATGCAGCCATGTCTGAATAGGCCCAAAAAGGGGAGCATGGAGGCCATGGCACTGCTGAGGATCGCACAGCAACTGCGGCAGCGGTACAGACAGGACCCCATGAATGTGATAGGGGCTGCTGTTGTTCGTGCTCTAACGAACGTCAGGCTGGATTCTATGGCACGGGGCGCATGTTGAATGTCTTGGTGCGGTCGATGCCCTCAGCAGTGGCACGAATTTCCAATGCATGGTGCACAGGGGCTGAAGGCGGGCAATATTGCGCGCTGTAGTACGACCATCGCGCCCCCTAGTCCCAAAGTGGCGCGAGCCGTGCATAGCACATTTTTGTCGTTACTGCGATGCTGATGCAGATATGCCTCTCGTAATCCATCAAATATCGCAATGGCGTGTTGCGATGTTGCCAGATTTTACATGCAATGGGGGGTGCGAAGAAAAAACTAATCGAGAATAGTCATATCCCGCGCGTTTTGGCACAAAGGCCAAATCGCATTTGAGTTCCTGGCTTCGGTGACAGTTTGGGCCGCCTGAACTTGGCCACGTGGAGACCAGACATAAAAATACAACTTAGGTTGCTGTGATCTTTGAGGCTGCAGGAATGAGAGTGCGCCAAAGGTCTGATGAAAGAGTGCGGAGTCCACACTGCGAGTAGAATTTCCGGTACCAAATCCCTGGGACATACTCTGGCAACGTATCTTTCAGTGTTATTCATAGCTGTGGACAGAACTGTCCAAGAACGGTGGTCTGCAATCGCTTTTCGGTCTATTTGGAGGTGGGACGCAGCGTGTTGCAACACAATACAATTGAACGCCCATCCGTTTTCTTTCTCGTCCCCTTGTTCGTGGCAGCTTTTTCGCGACCGATGAATGTCGCATTCTATAAGAACATTCCAGTGCGGCATCTTTCTCTATAGGAAAGCGAAAACCGGTCGAATCCCCTCGTCCCCGTTTGGGCGTCAATGCTGTCAGCATTTTGTTGGCGACACGATTCGCTGTGTTGGCTCGCCAAGAACAGAATGGCACACATTATCAGTGCCTCTTGTCGAATTTTAAGTCTGGAGGATTGTTTGACCCTGCCTGCTGAGTGCGCGAAGGACTGAGCATCATCGACTTCGATTTCCCGCCGCTGTCTTCATGGAGGCGGATTTCCGACATGTTCTTGCATGATTTCAGCCGAGCTAGGCATTTTGCTGCAATTGGGCTCCACGGAAATTCGACGAATACCAGTGTGACCCATTTAGAATAAGGAAGTTCTGAACGCGGAACGAGGCCGTGGCTGAATATGCGACAAACTTCATCTCCTACTTCCCCTTTCTTTGGGATCCGACGTCTGGTATTTTTGTTTACATTCATCACCCGGATCCAGGGTTTCCTTCCTGTATAATTTGATCAAATTGGAGCGGTCGCATCTGCCCAGAGAATGAATAATGCGTGATGTCTGAAAGAATTTGATTCAATCAAAACATATATCCGTCATGTTTTTCCACACATATCCATCCTTCAAATTCAGCAATTCCATATGGATCCATTGTGCATCACGCACAATGAGAGAAGAAGATTCGATCGACACACTACTTTATTAGAGAGACAAAAATGGATACAGTAGGGGCCCTCTACAAGGGGGGTCCCGAAACAGCGAACCCCTAATGATATTGGCAAAACGAGATGTTCTTGTGGATCGGGCGATAGGAATCTGCAGGCTCCAAATGCCCCGAAACACAATTGCTGTGTTATTGAACGGTTATATATACATTTAGTGAATGGCGTTATTGTGCGTTATTAGTATAATCTATTGCGTGAGGCCTGCCATCACCTCTGCTACAATAACATTTCCGTTGGCTCTGCCATTGGCTGTTTTCGATCAAAGTCTGCCAACGAGATCTGGCCGTTACTTTTGTCGCCTATACGCGGTAATTACCGCTTAAAAATGCATGAACGTATCCTTCAAATACAAGCCTCCGACATGGTGCCTATCTCAAGACATCATGCTGCACTATCCGCTGCGTAGTACTGCATTGTGCATCGTACATTCAATACGCCTTTCGGAGGCCAAAGGCGCCTTACATGGGACGGCCGCATATATCCTATGATTGTTTCTGTGTGGTGTCTGCGCTTTCCTTTCGCAACAGGTTTTGCTTGGCTGTGGGTAATCTCAACGCACATGATGACGGCACAATGGTCCACCCAAGGTGCAAAGTGGACATGAGTCCTCCATCGCCAAACTGCGCTTCTTGCAGCTGCCGATGAATGCTGTAGCTATTCGGGCCTTCAAGGTGCATTATTGCCGCACTGTTTTTGTTCAGAACGCTGGAGATGTTGCCGAGCAGACAGAAATGAGGCATGACTCATGCAACAGTGCGAGTTGCAACGGTCTGAAATGTGCTCATGATGGGTGTGAATTCTATTACAGAGACATAAAATTGGAAAAATGGCTTACTTGTGTGTTGTTGGTGGGATTGCCAATCGCCTTGGCTAAAAATTGCCTTCGAGCGACTAAGCCGGCCCCTGCACCTGTGTGAGAGTCCTCCGCGAGCGCATGCTTCCTGGCAGGCTTGGTTTTTACGCCGTAAACACGGAACGTATTTACGTTTCTACGCGTTTGTAAACATACCAATAGTCATTTAATCCTGACACATCAGATGGACTCGTGACTAATTCAGGACAGCTGCTTTGGCCCCATGGGGGCGTGTTCTGGACGGCAAACGCTGCTGATATCATCACAGAGGCCGAAGCATCGATGCCTCGATGCGAACCTGATGGGCAGAATCTGACAACTCATCAGAAAACCGTCAAGCCCATTGCATGGATTGCAAGTGTCATGGCGCTTAGTAAAAGGGTCATGCAAACATGGTCAGTAAGGATCGCGAGTAGTGTGTCAGACTGCCAGTGCTGAGACTGCACTCGAAGGCGTTACATGTGTCTGACAGGAACCGGTCTGCTCGTACTACAGACGCACACAGCTGAGAGGAGGGACATTGTGAATCTACCACTGGAAGATAGTGCGAGGGCCTATGACTGATGAACGAGGAACCACTGAGGCTCCTGGCTGGAGTGCTCTGCACACTTGGCAGGGTTGGATGTTTGCCAATGCGCACAAAGAGATTTCCTTGAATGGCATTGGACTAGGGAGGCAGTTGGTACATATGGGATAGGAGTTCAGTGCGCATGGTGCTGATGATCATCATTATCATGAGGAGAACGGTGACAATCACAAGGGCGTTGCACGCACGGAACCTGCATGAATTGCAGGTACACTTGCCCTGGCGATCAAGCGGGATGAGCTCTAGGAATGTGTATGTCATGAGACGACGAGCCACCGTACCCACGCAAGGCTCAAGAGAGTTGGAGACGATCCGCCAAGCTGGAAAACGTGAGCTAAGAAAAAGGGAGTTGTCATATCTGCGACAATACCTGCCAACACACTTAAGCGTCCAACATGACAGGCTGTCGGAAATGAAGAATGACCCGTCAGATGCAAAGAGAACGAGACGGTTGTCTAGACAACTATGGCCATGAATGGGCAATCACCGTGGTAATGTTTCAAACATTGAGACACCCGCTCGATGACGGAGTAAGTATCCAGCGTTAATATGAGAGGTTTGTAACAGCCACCCGCCTTCTGGAAGGACATTATTCGTACATGCGGTTCGGGCATCAGATGCGCTGCCATAGTTTTTGGTAAAAGGCTTTATGTGCCAAGCTTTGGTCAGCAGAGTTGCTGGCATGAACTGTGTATGAGCTGATCCAGCAATATGGAATACTTGGGACAAGTACAGACGAAAAGTGTTGAGCGTGGGCGTTAAAAGGAAGTGTAGATAACGGGTCATTTTCGTGTCGCAAACCCAGCATGGGTTGTGACTGATGATGAGGCGAACAATTCGCCTATATTGACGATCACAACAGGAAGGGGGTGACCTGAACTGCCCAGCAAATCGTGTCCCTGTTTCGAGGAGACAAAGGGCAGCGATTGACAACAGTAAACGGGCTACAGAAGATCGCGGCTGTCGAATTGACAAATGTCGATCGGTCACTTTCCTGTCTACAGTAACACTGAAAATGCATACAGTACATGATGAGGGGCTGTACAGAACAGCAGAGGAAATGCTCCAGCGACACCCCCTCCGTTGGGCGCGTCCCTGATATAGTGGGTTGGATGATCTTCAATGATGCTGCTTGATCATACTGGGTGCCATCGTGGACAGCAGCTTGTCTCTGTTTGCGGGAATTCCCATCATTTTTGGTCTTGAACATGATCTCCTTTGATGTCAAAAGGCCATAGAGCCGATCGACAAGCCAGTAATATGTAGCCATGGAGCCCCGATGGCGGGCCTGGACGTTTCAATGTACTAGCATTCGTCGATGTTAGTCTATATTTGTCGCTAGATGGCCTGGCAGTCTCCCGTGCACTAGTGTGTACGGCATGGCTGGCCATAGCAGTCAAAAGCTGTGGCTTTAGCCCCATTTCTGTGAGCCTTAATATTGAAGAGTGTATAGGTGTCATCCCGTACCT